ATCTTAGTTGATGGAGGTTCATAACCTCGTCAACTGATTTACCTCTACTCCCTAAAACTGTCGACCTGACGTCTGCGTTACTGACATGGTGATACCACGGAATACGGCCTATAGTACGATGGCAACGGTGGTCAAACACTTAAAGTCTTCTCATGTCTTCCACCTTCAATGGCCATGTTTCACAGGCATACAACAGAACACAGCGGACTGCTGTGCATTACGTGCGACCCTTAATAGACAATCGGATATCACGGCGGCGCCACATGTGGCGTAAGTTGGTGAGAGCCAGTCGAGCCCTTTATATCCATACAGAGATTTCATCGGCCACTGAGCCACCAGGACTGATCTTACTTCCCAGGTAGGTGAAGTGGTTGACACACTCAATCACTACACTCTCCATTGTTAGCCGTGGCACCGTTGAAGCTCAATCCTGGAGCAGCAATTTGTATTTGGGTGGTGAGAAACGCATCCCAAACATTCTCAAATTGGCACTCCAAGTGTTCAGAAGACTCTGCATCTTGTCAGCGTCTTCACCTAACAGGACCATGTCATCTGCATATTCTAGGTATAACAGAAATTCTCCTGCGATTAGGTCAACGTCTGTGTAATCAGGTGACGAGAGGCAGACCCATAAGAATATCTGTGATGAAATTATATCAGAATGGAGAGAGTAGGCACCCCTGATGGACACCACTCGATGAGTATAGCTCCCTGGACACCTCACTATGGCTTTAACACGCCCACAAGTGTTCGAGTAGAGGGCCTTCAATGAGGTGATGTACTTACTCGGCACACACACCTTCCAGTGAGAGACATTGCCATAAGACTTCTCGATCAACAGAGTCAAAAGTCTCCTTCAGGTCGAGAAATACAGCTAGTGTCGGGCGTCGGTAAGCATGCCTGTGTTCCAGAACCTGGCGCAGTGTGAATATTTGGTCAATAAACTCGCAGCCGGGTCTGAAGCCTTCCTGGTTTTCTCGGGCTTGCTGTTCCCGAGCTCCAATCAGGCGTCAAAGAATTATAGGATCTTGGACGCTATTTTCGTCAGGTCGATTCCTCTGTGGTTATCACAAGAGGGCTTCTCGTCTTTCTTGAAGACTGGGATAATCAGTGATTTAGACCAGTCAGAGGAGATCGTATTTGATTCCCACATACTGGTTAACACTTCCTTTAGCATGGCTAAGAGCATTATACCGCCATGCTTGTATACCTCTGAAGTTAGTCCGTCTCGTCCTGCGTCCCTTCCTCTTTTCAGGTTACCTATTGCTTTTACGACTTCTGCTAGTGTTGGGGGGCCTATCTCAATGTTCCACTTAGGATCTGACTGGATAACGGGCAACGCAGTGGTGGCTAGAGGTCAGTTAAACTGTTCCTCGAAGTGTTCTGCCCATCGTTCCAGTCGTCTCCTCTGAGAGTGAATCACAGATCCGTCCTTCTCTGCTATAACCTCACTAACCACAGTTGACCATTTTCCCCCAGTTTTTTAATAAGTCTAAATAACTATCTACTGTTACTAATCGCCGCTGCCTTTTCCATCTCTTTAGCCTTCGCTGCCCACCACTGTTCGCGGTCGTTGAGTAGACTTTTTCTCAATCTACTTTTTAGTTGACGCATAAAACTGAATTCTTCATGTGTGATCCTTCAGTCTCATAATTTCAGTTGCTAATGTCTCCACTACCAGTTTGTATAAACATGAAAAGCACATAGTAAAATGACTGGAAATATATTTCTGGACTGAATCCAAGTTTTTGGTTTCTATAAAGCTATCAAACCTAATAATTTGTTGGAAACACAAAGGATTCGAGACTTGTATTGCCTAACTAAAGTTTCAGCCTAGGGACTTTGGAAATTTAATCTGAATGAAGTGAATAATGGGTTGTATTGAAAAGTACCAAGTCACAGAATGTTGAACTGTTACGCACCAAGCAATCTATTGGAGCCACAAATGTTGATGTGCGGATTGTAGCTTTAGGTTGGATTTTCGTTGATTTCTGTGTACTCGATTACTGTGATATTTTCTGCTTCGGAACCACTGAACAACTTTATAATCCTGAGGGTTATAGCATGTCAAGTTTGCATATAAAAATGCCGGCAACTTCTTGGCTGACTAACATACAGAGATCAATTTTGACTAACACTGAAGTGTAGTGATAGTCTAAACATTCTCCTATTCACGAAGAGACTTAGGTCGAAAAGGCAGTACTAAGAATTTTGTTGGAGCTGCCAAAAGGTTACATGAAATGTCTTCACGATGGTGATTATCTGAACAAGGTTAAAGTGAATAATATGAACGGTTGAAACCATACAAATTACTGAAGGAGATCAGAAAAAATCACGAAATCTATTTGACTTTGAAACAAACTTTAGTGAATCCTAATACTCAGATGGGATATGTCGAGTTGACCTCTATCGGTATGAAAAGCATTCACTGCCTCAAACACTCCTCATTGTGCTTGACGGAAAATTTAGCTCACTTAGTCTTAAAAGTTTATTACGACATGTTGCGTTATAGAAATCGATTGTTAGTTAAATATTTATTGAACACCAACAAAATATTTGGGCTAAACATGGTGAAACAGCCAGTGGTCAATCACGTTTAGTCATCAGTAACCAAACAGAGGAGTGGAGAGATGTAGTTTTCTTTACCTAACGATGGTCACTTTCTTGTCCTCATTTGTTTTCAAATAACTCTCCTTTACACATTCAGCTTAACAACTGGTACTAGCAGTGACTAAAAGATATTTGTTCTACGCTTAAATACTTCCGAAGTGCATTTATTTATAAGCTGAGGATAAGCATGGTGTAGTCGTTATTCATCAATAGTTAGTTTTTTCAGAATTATAGGGAGAAACGAAAAGACGGTTATCATGAAGATAATTGTCTTGCATGCGAGCTGATTTTACCAACTGCATATTACTGCATGTTCGACGCAAGACAGATACATACCAATGTGCAGTTAATAAAATCAGTTGTGGCTTCTTGGTTTATGGAGTTGACTTTCAGTTAGTGGGTCATGGGTTCAAACCGGGCCCCACCTACCACGGTTTGGGCAGTCACACTACCTTAAGTCCTCACACAAAGAGTGCTGCTCCGTAGCGTATGTCTACAAGCTCATTTCAAGCTATTATACTTAATTAACCAGCTGTACGATATAGCCATTTGGAAAACGCTATCTGGTTTGACTGACAAAACAGAAATGTATTTTGAGGCACCTTTACGGAAAATCATTAATCTTAGAGTTCGTTCGGAAAGACCTCTAGGAAGAAGACCAAACATGTCAAAAGTATTCGGGATAAGGTTTGCGTCCAAAACCAAAACTTGTGCAAATGCACAAATCCAGACAAATTCTGAGTATGTAAAGTATATGCAACCTCTATCATTACCACCAGTATGATGTCTTAGATAATCCCGTTATCCTGTATCCTTAATCTCATTCTAAAATATTCCAACATAAGTCATTAACTTGTTTTGACTAAGTAGCGAACTTTTGTCCTCAATAAGGAACCGTCAAGATTTGTTATCCACTCTATCATGTGTATTTACGATGGTGAAGCTGTGAAAAACACTTTTGTGTTAAAAGCATCCGCCTTTTCGTGTTGAAATCTTAAGAGGGTGGATTGCATGCTTTCACAGTTGTTGGAGAATACTAAATGAGGACGGAAAGGTTGTTCAGTAGTTCTACCTTTAATAAGTTACTTGGTGGTAAGAATCACCTTTAGGAATCAATCGATATCAGTTGACTGAACATAACTAGGAATTTTTTGGGGATAAATTTTTGGCATGTCTAATGTCACGTTCAGCTGATTTCATCTAGTCTACTAGAAATAGTCAATAATAGTCGAAGTCAAGTGACGTTGCCTAGTAGTAAGTTTACTCAAATTTGTGAAAAGAATCGATAATAATGATTTCTTCGGTTTGAGTATTTAGTGAATCGATGGCAGCCTAACGGTACAACAGGCAGTCACAATAGAGTGTATTATCCATTATCACATACAACAGAACAAATATGTATCGTCAAAAAAAATTCGCTAAGCTCTTATAGAACAACAGAAACTATCAGTTTAGTGCAAAATGTCATATTTAAAAAAATAAAATAATAATAACCTCAATGTCTGCAGTAAACACCGAAGTAATAGTGAACACTACGAGATTACGTAGTGAAAGATTGGAGGATATTAATGCTTATGATGAAACCAGTTATCCAATGTTAAAAATTAGAGAGCTAATTATGCTTCCGTTACGTGCTTCGAATTCTAGCATAAATCTCTAATGGTACTAAGCACATTCTTAGATCACATTTTTCAGCCTGGCACATAGGGTCATGTACGTTGTAAGATGCAACAAGTGGACTTCAGTTAGTAATAATGACTACCTTTACTCCTAGTTGGTATTAGCTGTAATTTACATTCTAGCATAACTAACATACTGGTGGATGAACGGTAGATAGTAGTCCATCAATAAGTGCTTGCAAACAACCATGATTCCTTGAACTCAGTTTAATGTGATCACCATATGCTAGCAAAGTCACATTCCTGAACAGAAGTTGATTCAAGTACAAAACAACTCACAAATACACAATGACTTCTCTAGGTTAAGTTCACATGGGAATTCAAAGAATATAAAATAACACTGTCAACATCAAGGAGGTTCTAATTCCCGCCAAAACAGTAGTTGCTTTCAAGCTGAAAATTCGCCTTCTTGATGAATGCAAGCAGTTGCAAGACCTACGTTTACGACCTTCTATGGATTACCTTTAATCTAATCAACTGATTAGCTTTAAGTTCCTATAGAAAAGTTAATCGGTAGGATTCAATTAACATTGAGGACTAGATAACACCACAGTAGTTGTTATTGACTAAAAGACTGATTATTAAAAACGAATGAACATAAATTTGGAAGAGACTATATATGGTTAGCAAGTGCACAAATAAACAACGCATTCATACAATAATATACGTAACGCATATAATTGAGAGTAATATCAATATATCAGTGCTCACTTTGGATATTCGCGATGTTGTAAAAAGTATTTATCCATAGAAAGCTGGAAGGAAAGATGGACAAATTTACAATCAACAAATAGATGAATTAGGTACACAGTGTCAGATAAAGAAAGTATTCACAGAGTGGTGCTCAACCCATTAAACAGAAATGAGACGGATATACAAACGCAAAATGCTTTTAACAGCAAACAATAACAACCACAATGAAATATTATTGAGTTGGTGTTATTATTTAGACACTGTTTAAGATGAGTTTTAGAAAATCCTACACTTGATTCTAATGATTTCCGTGTGTGTGCTATTATGGTGTAAAACAATCGTGAAAGAAAGGAAGAAACCAAAGCCCTAACGTTTAAGTTACTCCCTCGATTCAAGTATTTTCTGTCTCGATATATTTATGAAAAAGCTTTTTCGCTTCTTCTCAAATAAGCAGCTCATTTGCCTAAACACTATAGTGATGTCATAGGTCAGAATAATCATAGGGCATATCGGTGGAATCAAAAGCACACGATCTGAACAAATGAAACATGTCAGAGTAGCAAGCAACACAGAGACTTTACTTTTCTAAATAGGTATCAGAAGTGAATAAAGTTTCCAACAGCCTAGCCTTAAAAAATAGTGAATTCCTACTGTTTAATAGCAGTTTTGTTTGTTATCGAAAGTCTTTACAGTCGTGAATGAAGTCATGTGTTTCAAGAGATTCAAACAATAAATGAGAAAAAATCATAGATGACACCGGACTTCTATGAATAACAAGCAATAACTGCATATGATATCCATTCGCTTACAGTTGATCAATTTCTTAATGTGACTTTGTGACATGAACCAACTAAAAGCACATATACATCTTCAAGCCAATTTGCCTTGTGTATTGTTTATTCCTAAGGTGTAGTCGAACGGGTTGCACTCAGTCACCTTGTGCATATCTATACAGCATGCAATAAGCCGCACCTATTGTGTAAGGGTTAGTGATACTACCTAGCTTCCCAAACCTCGGTAGGTGGAGGGGGTTTCGGACCCGTGATCCACTACTAGTTGGTAGTGATCTCCGTACATCAGTGAGCCATAGCTCCCTTATGATGTGGTAGATGGTCTATATTCCGTGACCCATGCTTTCAATAGTTCAATATCTCGACACTCTTAGATTCTAAAGGATATCTTTATCGGCAAACTTCCCTTCCCTTATCTGTTACCAATTAATTTTCCAGCAATCAGATGTCAATTTTTCAGGCTTCATTTCAGAAGATACTGGAACTAGATAATTGAAATTATTTGATAACGTTGGTTACAATGCCCTTCGTAATTTGAAAACCATGAGCTTTCTCATCAGCTGTTTTGATTAACAAACAACTTATCTAGTAGTTCCATGTTAGGATGAAAGCAGCACTTATATTCACTTAAAGAGCAAGGACTTTTGACAAGCGTCATCCTATAGCTTATATACCATTATTCAAAAAAGAGATTCTCAATAAAGTGATCAATTGACGGATGTAACTAGAAAGTGGGGCGAACGAGCCATCTCTAGACAAAATTACTCGTTCAAAATAACAACTGTTTTCAAACGCCAATCGTTTCAAGCATACATTCCTTCGTTGACCTCCGCCTACGGAACTTAGTATAGTATTTTTCGGTGACGAATAGCATTTCCGTAATTCATAATGCACTCAGGAGCCTGGTGAACACTCGCGCAGTAGGTGATAAATCGCACCGATCGCGTTGGTTAGTTATACTACCTGGCTACTCTAACCTCAGTAGGTGAAACGGGGATCGAACCAGTGACCCGTCGGTTGAAAGTCATCTCCCTAAACCAATGAGCAACAGCTCAATTTTCGTAATTGCCATACCATGAACGACATTACATAAATGATCAGAAAAGCAATTCAACTAAATGGAAAATTGAAAATGGTAACATAGACTACTAACATAAAGTTCTTATGAATGTAAAACTGTGTAAACATTGCTAAAAACGCAAAGAAAAAACCATTTGAAAGTAGAAAATTAAAACCTTTGAAACGGAATAGTTGGCGGGTTTTCCTTGCAAATTCCAAAAACAACACAGTTTTGACCACATTTGCTATGATTAGTGCTATTAACACATTCACAGAAGCAACTTAGCAACTACCTAAAAGTTTCATAACAAAAAAGCTGTGAAGTACAACTACTGTCTGAAGACAGTAAAAATCGACTGGGATAAAATGAAGCCTTAAGTTAAATTCCTACATGTAAGATTTCAATCTCAATACACATCTACAAAAGACTTCAAAGAAGATCTGGCTCGTTTCACACAATATGAAAATAGCAGTTCAAAATGCATCACCGAGAACTGGACTCAATAGTATCAATGACTGTCATCTCTCTAATTATTGCTAACCTTTTCGACATCTGAGCCGAAATATAACTCAGAAATCGCCTGCACGTTCGTTCACACAATTACTGAGTGACGGTTAATGACACTCCCTTGTAGTTCAGACCTAGGTAGATGGAGCCGGCTTCGAACCTATGGTCAAGTGGTTGAAATTCAAGTGTCTAGGCCAGTGAACCAAAGCTTTACTTAGTAAACATGTAGACAGATGCTGCGTAAAAAGATAAAATAGTTCCATGCACCTAATTATTTGTATGATTTCAAACTCCATGGCACATAGCACTTGACAAATAGGGCAATGTAGACCCCCCCCTATGACGCCCTCCAGGGTGTCCTAATCCCTGTCTGTAGATTACTATCATATAATGATGTACGTGTGTGTTAACTGACTTGCGTCCTTTGTCTAGCACTCTACGCCCGACTTAAATATTGCTCACGCGGTGATTCCATCACATGCGAGTCGTGCTACAAAGGGGCTCATGATCAAAAACCTATGACATCTTCATGTTTTCTACTTTCGGCAGCGAAGTAGCAATCGTACGGTGAAACAGTGCAAACTGCTGTACAGTATATTCATCCTTTAATGGATAGTCCGATATCGCGCCTACGCTACAAGTGGTGTAAAGCTGGGGAATATCAGATGGTACTTTCATATCTGAGCTAAGATTACATCAGATACCAACTCATGCAGGCTGCCGCAACTTACGAAGTGAAGTTGACAGTGCACCCTAAGACTTCACACACTAACCTTACATTAGAACTTAGTTAAGACCAGTCTTAAAGCATCGTCTTAAATTTAACAGGAGCGTAATGCATGCCAAAATTACTCAAATGTTTGCACAGGGTGTTTTTCGTCGTTTTCGTCGAACAGGACTACGTTGCCTGTGCACTACAAATCAAACAAGTGAGCCCGACAGGACCAGTCGATATCTAAAAAGCTGGAGGAAGGCAGGATTATGACCATCAGCAATTCTATGCAAAGGTTCAGTAGGAATCGTGGCGGTGAGCAACTTTGGCGAAAATGACTGGTTATCGTTACATCAAGTGAAAACTCCTAATAAACTCTAACACAGCTGCATGAATTCGAGCAGGGTGTTCTGTTGAGCGCAGAATACTTCACAGTTATGTACTGCCACGACAACTCTTGATCGACAAAGTCGCCTTTAGGTTGAGAAATACGGTTGGTGTCAGGCACCAGGTAAGTATGTCTGTTACGAAACCTGTACAAGAGTGGGGATCTTATCAATGCACCTTCGTCCACGTCAAAAACCTGCCTGATTTTCTCGAAATCGTTGTTTCCTAGCTCTAGTTAGGCGTCGCATAACTATGGACCGTAAACTGACCCCTCTTTGTTTATCATATGAAGACTTCTTTCTAATCCTAGACCAGTCTAGTAGAACTACGTTCAATCCCCATTCATTAGCTAGTATCTTGGTTACTGTACTCACTAATTTCCTACGGTCATCACAAAACACAACCAATGAGATGAAATGCTTTCGAGTGACTGTAGCTTGCTTGATACAGCAGTTACTAATGATCAATTGCACGTTTTAATCAGTTCAACGAATGGGAGGCTTGTTCAAACTACAAAGATATTCTATATTAAAAGATGAAAAACTAGTATCAGAATAATCATCGCTGTTACATATAAAAACTTAGTTCAATAACTAAAAGAAAGTGAATATACCTTAAGATGGATCATTTTGACAACTTCCTGATTCAGTATGTATTTCAAAAACAGATGCAATATTAATGCGGTATCGAATAAGATAAACAGGTTTACAATGCAGAAATCCAATTCTAAAACTGGCGTTGTGCTGATAATGGAAAGTGCTGCCAGATTGTGGTTAACCTGATAGCTCTAAGATGGAAAGTATCGCAAAGAAAATAGTAAAACAGATTAATCAGAGATTTATAGCTTCTACGGTGAAAATATACACCTTTCTAGTATCCCGATCATATAAGACTTGATTCTGATGAAACTGGAGAAGAAACATGTAGAAGAGAGCAACCCCCTGTTAACTGATGATGTGATCCAAAAATATTACGCAGTAGAAATAACGTCAAAATTTAATAGTTGGACAGATATGAATCTACTACAACACTTGTGATTTGAAACAATGCAGGGTATTAACAGTTTGAACGGTAAAATCGCTGAATTCAATGAAGTGATAAAATCAAAACGTGGAACGCTCTGCATGATTTAGATGAGATGTGAAAAAGAAATCATAAGCTTGTGAATGACTACTTACGCTATTTGGCTCGATTAAATGGCTATTTTTTCGGAATTTTCACTCACAAGCTTCTCCTTTAAAGACTAATAAAATTCAGCCTTTTACGAGATGGTTTTCAACAAGATCTTTCGGTGAATGTCAGTGGTACTCAAAATAACACCGTTTATAGTCCTTTATGAACTAAACAATAAAACACATTTGCCCTAGAATAAAAGTTCATTACTCAGTACCTATTCAAAACTACAGGAAACATATTTTGAAATTTATCTATGTATTTGTTATGGTGTGGAGCTCATATAAATTGAATAGCCTACTCCTAGTTATAGTGTGGGATGTACTACTTACAAGAAAAAATACAAGTAATATGTAGCATGATGATCCCTGAGAAAGCAGGAACAGTTGAAACTCATTTATGCATGTTCTCGCGCAAATTGTTCCTCTCCGTTACCATAAATATCTCAACTATAAATTGAAATCAAGTAGGCACCTTGTATCCTTTAAAATACATGAGTTTCGGCATAACCGGACATTTTCTTGGCCAACGCACTTTTCTTTCACAGGCGCCGTATCTAACATACTTGTTGACTTCTATACACAAAGAAGCTATCTGATGCTGCAATTCCTTCGTTTTCATTGCGCCTCGGTTGATTTCTGAATCTTATTATTCATTGGTACCGATATCTGACTCAACAGCTGCCTGCCTACTTTTAATGGTTGAACACTGTTTACTGGCTGCAGGTACACTCTCAACAAGAATTCCTATCAGCAGTCAAAACCCCGCGACACAAACTGCGGTAGGAATAGGAAAGAGGACTGATGAAATTCACACAGTCTACATATTTACTATCAATGCAATTTGTCTCTTGGGTGCCTAGTGGTTCATAGTGTTTCAGTAGCAACTCTCCATTGCACTCTCTTCTCTGCAGTCTTTTCAAGCTGGCTCCACGACTCCCCATAACCTTTCATTTCTTCATCACACAACCTCCTCCATGTCACCCTCACCTATGACACCCAACTCGTCGTTTCCCCTTCGGATTCCACTCTAGGACCCGCTCTGGTGCGTGATGTCTCCAAACAGTCGTCTCAGTGTACGCCCAATCCATTTCCACTTCCTTCCGTACATTTGTTGGGCGATGGGTTCTTGGTTGGTTCGTTGCCAACCAGAGTTCCTTGTTGCTTATTCTTTCTGGCCATCTGATCTTCAGTAACGAGCCAGCGTAGGCAGTTGTTGATGAATGTCTGTAGTTTGTTGGAAATGCTTTTCTTAACGCGCCAAGTCTGTCAGTCATCACATAGAAGCACTGACTTGACTGACTTAGTGTTCAAAATCCGGATCTCGTTCACACTTTATGTTGACTACGGTGCAGTGCAGTAGATCTCCACACTGATTACGGATTAATGAAGGCCTGTCTTTCCGATCCTGCCTGGCTTTGACGTCCTCATCTGTGCCGCCTATAGTTGGAACGATGCTGCCTAGGTAGGTGGAAGAGACAACTTCCTTTAGGTTTCTCCTGACGATAGTTATTGGTGCTTGCTGTTGTTGGTTGGGTATCTTCAGCATCTCTGTTTTCTCTACGTTCACTTGAAGCCCCGTTTTCCTTCGCTGCCTCTTCTGTCAACTAATTGTTTATTGCCTGTAGATCTTTGAGTTTGTGCAACATTAGACACAAATCATCATCGGCGAAATCCAAATCTTCTGGGCTATTTTCATCAGTCCAGCCAGCATATGACCATCTTCTCACTCCTCACAGTCTCTTGCATGATCAAGTCCAGTTCAGTCGACCACAATCAGAAAGGTCATCGGTGTTGGTAGGCAGCAGCCTTGTCTTACTCCTGTCTTCACTTCAAAGGCGTCACTGAGTTTTCCATTGTGAGCCACTTGGCATATGGCGTCTTCATATAGTTGTTGAATGAGGTTGATAAATATTTGTGGCACTCCATAGTGTTGTAGCAACTGTCAAATTACTTCTCGGTCGACGCTGTCGAAAGCCTTTTAAAAGTCGATGAAGTTGTTCTATGAAGATGCGCAGCATAGCGTTGCAATTCGGTCCGCACATGAATTGTTCTTCCTGAAGCCAGCCAGCCAGCCAGCCAGCCTGTTCCGGTCGCAATTTCGAATGCAGAGCATTGTTTACTCTCTCTCAAGGATGATGTGGCTTAATATTTTGTTTGGGGTGGACAAAAAGACAGGAGCATGATTCCGTGCCAGTTCTTGCAAAGACTTAAGTCTCCCTTCTTTGGAAGCTTGACAAGGCAGTCCTCCTTCCAATCTGCAGGTACCTTTCTTCCTTTCCTTCCAAATCTTCAGCAATGGTGGTGTGAGCATATCCGTTGCAAATGTCTCTGTGTCTGTTTTCAGTGTTTCTGGAGGAATTCCATCTGGTCCTGCTGCTTCCTCGGATTTCAGCAACTTTATGGCGTTCGGGACTTCGGCTTTTGTCGGAGGGCTTGTGTTCACTGATAGTTCTGTGGCTGGGCTGCTGGTGATATTTCTGGACGAGTTGCAGATGGTGGTGGTGTGCTCGAATCAAGAGTTTTTTTCAAGTGATCAGCCCATCGTTCCGTTTGGTTCTCCTCTTTGGTAACTAAGTTCCCTTCACTATCTTCCATTGGTTTCATCGGTGTTGATCTCTTCCCTCCCAGATAGTAACCTGGTTATTTGATATAATGTTGTCAGGTCTCTGTCTCTCCCACCTACAGCCTGTTCTGCTTCACTTGCCAGTGTTTCGTAGAAGTGTCTTTTGTCTTTGCGTGCACTCTCCTTCACTTCTTTGTCCAGTGTTCAACACACGTTCTACTCAGTTCCTCTTCTCGTTGTTCATCCTTACACTGCACTGGTTCATCTTCTGCTTCACCATCTTCCTCTACCTGCTCTGTCAGCTCCCATATGTCCGTCGAGATCCATTCCTTGTCTTGCTTCTTCTTCCTTCCTAACACGGTTATCCAGGTTCCTTTCCACATAGCTTCCAAACAGTCCCAGTGTTCTTCCATACAAGTTTCCTCGGGAATGTTGCCTAATGTCTCCTATCTTGTACTGATGACTGACGTGAAGATGTCCTTCAACTTGATTTTCAAGGTTCCTTGCACTAGACAGGGAGTGGTCTGAACCTACATTCGATCCCTTTCTTGATCTGATCTTGTGTCCAGTACTCTGCGTCTGCACTTTCTTCACATTGAGATGAAGTCGATCTGACTTTCGGTGTGTCCATCTGGTGAAATCCACGTCGCTTTGTGAATATCCTTGTGTTTGTACACACTGCCTCCAATCACCAAATCGTTGGATGTGCAGACGTCTGCAAACAGTTCTCCATTCTCAGTCGTTTCACCGAGTGCTTCTCGACCCATGGTTAGTTCTCTTCATGTGTTGTCCGCTCCCAGTTTGGCATTCATGTCACACCATCCATTAGAATTTTGATGTCGCCAATTAGAGTGGGGTCTTGTCCATTACTCATTGCAGTTGTCTGTAGAATTCCTACTTCTTCTCTTGATCTGCATCATTTGTAGATGCGTAGCGTAGCAATGTATGATTGTGACTTCCCTTCCTTTTGAGTTGAATCTTGCTGTCATGATTCTGATGCTGGAGGAGATTGGTTCCCACTGTATGAGAGCCTTCGATGCTCTCAGGGACATCATGATAGTAACTCCAAAACTCAGTGTGCTCGTGGTTATCGTGTGAGTGATATTAATATTAATGTTAAGACTTCATATCATACATGGTTGAAGTGAATGGTTTCTGCATTGTACACTTGAGATGAGTTGATAATCGATTCCGGTTATTTCTTTATCTATTTTTCCGTATTTCTTTCATGTTTTCACTTCGTCTTTTAAAACTTCTGCAGACGAAAAGGTTACTCTACTTGCTTTTAGATAGGATATCGTGTTTTGTACTACCTGCGTGTGCTGATTTATGTGACACACACCAGAATAACAGTGTATGGTACAAAGGATAAGGATCGTTATTTGAGGAAATGAATCTATCAAGTAAAAACCTACAAGTTTGACATACACAACATATTTATTTCTCAAAAACCATTAGGAATCAAAATCAGTAGCGTAAGTAACGTTATTTTTAGTGGTTTACAGTAACAACAGCAAGGTTGATTGGGGGAAAGATGAAAACTTTAATAGTTATAGTCTTCTTTGCTTGTTTATGTGTCAAATATAGTCAGGATATTTCGTGTAGCTCATTTCTTGGTTTCCTCACTGTACGATTTTCTATCATAAAAGAAACTGATACAGATGCGCTCTCTACCAACTGCTGACAAATGATTTTCATGATAACGTTGACAAAGTTACACTCACACTAAATATCTTATACATTTTCAATGGTGATTTCTGTGGTGCTTAAATAATGTGCTCTTACGACAGAAGGTAAAATTCCAATGACAATATCGAATGGGAAGAGCAGAAATAAGAGAACAAAAGAGTTAGTAGCAAGTTTGGAATATTCAAAACTGGAGTGAATCTAAAGACCACCCTAGCCACCACTAAAATAACCAATTGGGTTTCTCCATTTTGGTTGGAAAGAAAGTTTTTCATAGTGAAGAAGTAAAAAAAGACAATTCGGCGAAAATTTTCTTTCCAATAAGTCAATTTCCAAAGCTGTACGGTCGCAATCATAGTTACA